TTTCTTCTTCATCAGTGATAGAATAAAAAAAATTGCACGAAATTCCTTGCAACTGTGTAGCGGGTAGTTCTTTCCTGCGAAGAATGCCGAAGGATGGCAGAGTGAATGCCTCTACAAAAATTATAATGATTTATGGCTTAGTGGGTACTCTGCAAGTCTGTTTATCGTAGTTACACAAAGAGGGTATAAAAAAAGGCTCTGAAAGGAGGTCACTCTTTCAGCTTTAGCCATGACTGTGCTGCGCATTCCACGCAGGCCCGGTAGTTCTTGTTTGCGACACAGAAAAATCCTTACAAAGAACTGGCTCTGCTTCTTAATGAGTTAGATCAAATTCTCGGCACATGCATGTCACTCTTCCGAATCCCAATAAGGTGGCAGAGTCTTAACTACCCCCACACAGTTGCCAACACTGCTGTCACGAGATTGTTGTGGAAGCAGTCTAGCCAAACGTGTATTTAAACAACAGTGACGACAAGCCATCATCCGATGACCCACACAAGGATTCTCTTTTCAAGCTTCGGCTCAAAGCAGAAGCTTGAAAAAAGAATCTCTGTATTGAGCTAGATACTGATCCAAGTGCTCGTTGTCATGAATTGATATCTAAAGCTGAAAAATAAAAAACGAACTTCCTTTTTTCCCCGTTTTCATAATTCAGGCATTAAGGGGTTACAAAAAAAGTTGCAAGAAATGATAATTCAGCGCATACCCTTTCATAAAGGTCCCCCAGGACACTCATAATTTGAAATGGTGACAGCCGAAACTCAGGGGCCCGATCCTGGTGATATCAAAAACGATTGCAGCAGGCATGCAGGACATGTGACCAACCTTAAAAAAAGGTGCATCGCAGCAAAGTATTGTCAGGCAGAAATGGCACGTAGTCTCACATACATAACTGGACTGTTTACCTTCCCGTATGGCTTGTAGGGTTTTTTAAAGGAGCAGTGATGCAAAAATTTTGCGCCTTTTTTTTTTGTTGCGATAGGTAACTTATGACTAGGGGCCAGACTTTAGGTGCCGAAAATAGGCGGGCAAAAGACGTGTTTTATGTCCCGAAAATCGTAAATATAGGCAAACTGAACTTTGACAAAATTAGAATTTTCAAGTAAGTACGTGGGGGATCTGTGTCTACGACAGAAAAGCAAACAGAAGCAAATAGTCAGAGTGCTAATAGGCCAGAAAAGCCTTTTTGCCTGATAATAATTTGGTCTAACCACACAGGGTAAATTTCTTATCTGTCTATGATTATCCTAAAGAGCCCTTCGCCAGGTCTGAGAATTCAAGTAAACAAAAAGAATGCATGCGCTGGGCACTCACAATCTCATATGCATGTATTTGCAATGCTGTGCACCCTGGAAAGAAGTGAAATGTGAGAATTAACGCCTCTTGACCTTCATCTCGAGGGTGCGCACCCCAACATGGTGGAGGGGACATATACAATAAGGAATGGCCCTGCATACGTCAAGGTACTACGTGACACTACAAGAATTATTCGAGGCGACAGTGTGAAATTTCTGTAAGCTGTTGCTTGAATATAAGTATGAAGGTTGATAGAAATACTAAAACATACAAACGGAATCTGTGCGCATTATTTTTTTAACTTTGTAACGAGTGAGATGCGAGACTAAGCTGCCTCCATTTCGTTTGCGGTTGTGTTCTCGTCGTTCTCATATCGTGCTGGTGCCAGCATTCACAAATAATGCTTGGGTTGTTTTGGTGCATCGTCCTTTAGAGCAGTTCCAAAAGCAGTTCCTGTGTATTGTGGTAAGGATACATGATCTGTGCCAGCTTCTCCAAACGTGGGCGCATAGGGGGCCCCAGAAACAGGCAGTACATAACAGTACATACATTCAAACGACACAACACGGCTTGCCTGCACGACCTGGCATGGGAATGTCACGCGAATGTAACCTTGCAGTGCGCATGACATTTTAATAAGTTTGCGTTCTGTGATCTCTCGGGTTTGAGTTGCTCCGATACAGAAGAGGGCAGGGAAGGAATTTGGCATGCGAAATCTACACCGGGCGAGTGTCAAAAGTTTCAAGCTCCCCTCCTTGTATCATGCTTTCGCGGCTTGTAATAAACCGTGGTGCAAAGCTTTTCATTGGACATGCAACAGCTTCCAAGTGTCTAAGTAAAATTTCTCATGTGACCTAGTGGAGCGCACGACACGTAAATGACAAACAAAACAAAAATTACGTGGATATATTTTTTAATCTACTTTTTTTCCCTAATGGCACTCTATAATCTTGCATTAATTCTTCATTGTTTTATTCTTCATCAACTATGACAGTGCTGAATGAAACTGATGAGTTATAGTATAGGTTGCAACCCATATAGTTCCGAAAATTCAGTTTTGCCTGGTAACATGAACACCAGTCTTTAACTGTACATGAAAACAATATTTGAGGTTAACTAGCATTCATATAGGCACCGATATTGAAAATAGACATTTATAGGCACTATAACAAAACTATAAATGCCCTTCTTATTCATGCTCATATATTAAAGTGGCACAATAGGCATGCAAGAAACAAAATAGGCAATTGCCCATAATCCGGTTTCTACGTATGAACCACTTATCATGGCTGGAAACCTTGTTTGGAGAGTGTACAATAACTTATTTATTTAGAAAAGTGCTTAGAGTGCCAAGTCTTGGTTTCAGTTTCAAAGAACCCCGCTGCGATGGTCTAGTGGCTAAGGCACTCGGCTGCTGACTCGCAGGTCGCCGGATTGAATCTCAGCTGCGGCGGCTGCATTTTCGATGGAGGCGGAAATGTTGTAGGCTCGTGTGCTCAGATTTGTGTGCACATTAAAGAACCCCAGGCGGTCAAAATTTCCGGAGCCCTCCACTACAGAGTCTCTCATATTCATATCGTGGTTTTGGGACGTTAAACCCTACAAATCCATCAGTTAATCAGTAAATCTTAATGATAAAATTTGTATTGTCTAAAGAAAAACATGCTTCATATAATTTACATCATTGCTGTTGAACAAGCTTAGCAGCAAGGTTTGGAGCCGAAGCTTGCTGAACTTTTCTTTTGCCGTCAGCTGATTGTACAAAATTAAAAAAAAATCAATTACACTTAGCAGAACACTTATGTACACACGTGCAATGACAAAGGGCGATGGTGGCATAAAAAATGCTTGTGATACCATCAACTGTCTTGCTATAAAAAACCAACTTTTCCAAAAAGCAGTGCTCCTGCGATTACACTTGACAGTCAATTTAGTGTACAATCAATCAATGTACAAGTTCTACTAAGAATACAAGATTGGAGCCACAGTTCAGCAATTTGAGAATTAAACATCTTTTGCAGGCTGCCCTCGAAAAACATTTTACAGAAGCAAACTTGTTTTTGGAGAGCACAGTTGTCCAACCTCTAGTACAGTTAACATTGACAACAAGTATGACACCAACAATCTATAGTTAATCAAGTTTAACGAATTAAGTACTTTCTGGCTACCATTCAGCATGTTAGATAGGACGTTATGTAAAATGGAAGAAAAAAATGGTTGAACTCTGTACGTTACAATGCACGCAGCAACAAACACTGTATTATATTAAGAAAAGGAAAATATGTTGTAAGAAAACAACTCTACCTCCTTGCACAATGCTGCAAAGAGGTAGAGGGAAAAAATAAAAATGGCAATACATTTCTGGCTAAAGATGCATGATGTTTTTACTAAAATAAGGCACCGGTGTTAAGAATTTTACTGTTCTTTCCATAACAACAGTTCAATACATAAACAAGGCAATTCGATTGTGCTAAGTAGTGCATAATGATTTAGTTAAAGCATTTATATTACAACCTTTATGCTTCTCTTTAGAATAATGACTTCCTAATAGTTAAACATTGTGAATATTTATGCTAATGAAACAAGTGATGCATCATATGATTTAGTTAAGGGATCTGTGCCATGACTTGTACAGCTTTCTGAATCAATGGAATAGATAAACATCTAAACATGGCTGTTAATTTGTGCTAAAGTATGCATGATATGAAAAATGCAAATTTTTTTATGGGGCCGTGGGCTCGGAAAAAATCTAGACTCCAAGAACAAAAAACTCCTATTCAGTGAAACTTCATTGGAACGAACTGCAAGAGATAACCTGAATAAGTTTGTTAAAGCAAAAGTTTTCTGAACTCAAATAGCTCTGCTGTAACTTATCTGAAGCTAAGAAAAGCATCAGTTGCTGTAATGAAACTTGAACCCTTTTGTATGTGAGGATGCTTATTTGAATGCAAATTTCTGCTTATTTAGCATGTTTTGAAATATGTGCTTTTTTTTTGCTACACTGGCGCATTTGGGACCTGCAATGGTGATGAATCGAACCACTGTGTCCAAGCTCTCACCAACTTTATCAGACACCGCCCACTGCCGGAAAGTGAAGGACTTCACTTTTTCCCAGTACACCTGTGCTTCTTCACCCGACATGTTTGGGGCTTCCACTACAAAGGTTACTTCTTCCAGAGGTAGCATTCTTGCTACGGTCTCTTCCGTAGACAAAGCGGCAGACGACTCAGTGCGAGAGTGACAGGTGAAACAGTCCTCAAAATGCTAAGCACTGTCTGTACCCAGTCTTTCAGACAATTTCTAGTCTCTATGACGTGAGAGGCATCGCATGGTGTCACAAGATATGATTGTAGACCTGAAATGCGTCAGCATTGGGTCTAACGATGCTTCGGCGAGGAATTTGAAAAAAGCTTGTACAAGTGAATTGGTCGTTTAACAAGCATTTGTTCAGGAGGAACTTACTGTACCTGTGATGCAACTGCATGCATAGCTATAGATTTAGAATGAGCAATCTGCATTTGCATATAAGACTAAAACAACTGGCTTAAAAAAAATTGATCATCATTGCAGAGCTCACACCTCATAAACTGTTGACTCAAGTGATGACACAATGCATGGGCACTAACTCACTACCATAGGATGAGTGAGAATCACTATTCACAGTTATTTCGAAGTGAGTAAATGGCAGAGTAAAAAAACTTATGTGGTCCAGCAAAAAAAAATTTATTTTACAGAAGACACAGGGGTAAGCTTAAAATAAGACGCTTGCTGAATTCCGCAGAAGGGAAATCCAATGGCAAGAATGGGAAGATGGAACATTGCCATAAAAAAATCCATAAGCAGGTAATGTGTCGAGTACATTGGTGAAACAGGACAGCCTGTTAATGTCAGGTTAAACGATTATCACGCGGGCACGGCAAATAGAAAGCAGTGGCACAGCATTTTAATGCCGCAGGACACAACTTCAACAATGTGACACTCTACATAGTTCAGTCAAACTTCCGGCCTGCAACAGACAGAAAATGTACAGTCATACCCTATTCACAGGTACAATACACTCCAGCCAGTACGTATAAACGTTTCTAAAGGGTCCCTTGAATCCATTTGGTATGATATATACACACAAATAAACCCACTGGGAGTTAAGCCCTCCAAGTATTAATTTCAAACCTACCATTATCAACTTCTGACAACCGTCACTCAGCGAAACATGTACATCCTCACCTCCCTACTCCTTACTTATTTTCTTTTTATTCACCGAACACCTGCTCCCTCTTCACTCATACAATTCGTTGCAGCACCCCCGCTCCCCTTCCCCCCACTTTGTCACACTGCTCCCCCTCTTTTGCCAGTATGGAGGAGAGGGTGCGAAGCGTAGACATGCTAGTACTAGAGAAATCAGTTCTGTTCTAGCCTTGAGGAACCATGTTAGCTTGTTGAAATGTTTTTTATGGCTCGACACAAGCCCTATTAAAAGGCCAGTAAACAACCCTGAGGTCAAAAAATTAAAAAAAGAGGTACATGTGCAGTTTTTCTTTGCAGACATGCTGCCGGAACAATTTTGCAAATGCGTGCTATATTAAGGAACTTACAGGGGCTAGAACATCGGTCTAAGCTAGTTTCAAATTTTTGCTGCAGCCTCGCCCCCTTTCTCTCTTCAATGAAGGGGAAGGCATAGCCTGTCGTCATGACTTCGTCCACTTCGGCAACGTGACAAATGGCAACGTGACGCCACGTCAGCGATTGACGTCATCGGAAAACTCGATCAGTCGTAACGCACTTCCGCTTGCTGCGAAGCGTGGTTGTTTGTTTACCGTTTTGCCGCGCCAGCCGCGGGTCAATCGTGTAAGCGTCAGGTGCCAAGTGTCGACCACAAACGATCAGGCCCCTGACGTACGTCGCTGGATGGCCGATTCGCTTCAGCCATGCAGCGCGCAGGGCCCCATCGTGAGGCACCCGGTGCAGATGCTTCTCCACTGCCCAGTCGCTCGTTTTGCAGCCGACAACAGAGCAACGCTTTTTACCCGTGTTGCTCATGTCAAGGACAAAATACGTTTGTATGTGCGCACAGGCGCTGTAGTTGAGCGAGGAGTGTACACATTCCTGCGACAATTGCGAGGCTGGTTCTTTCACCGCATTGCCAAAAAACAAGGGGCAGTTTCGTAGCTGTGGGTGGGAACAGGAACTGACGTTGACTTCACTACTGTTTTTTCACACCTAATTTAGACCAATCGGCAAGCTGCGTGCTACGTCACATTGCCGATCGCTGAATTGACGGCAGTGCACATGCAAGGAAGTCGGTCAGGCGTAGGAAAGCTGCACTAGAATTGTTTTTCGAAATAGAGCGCCCAGTAATATTGAGAAAACGTGATCGCTGTGGTCTAATCTACGAATTGCCGAGCTTGTATGGGGGGGTGTAAAAAAAAAGTTCGAGCCGTTTTACTGGCTTTTTAATGTTTTTTTTTTTTCATGACAGAAGGTAAGGGAAGACATGAATATCAATTGATTGACTGATATGTGGAGCTTAACGTCCCAAAACCACCATATGCTGAATGTCAATGTATAACTGTGCTGATGATGATCACATAAAAAAAATCAAGGATGAGTCATGTATGAAGCAAGTTCAGCACCATGTGGCTTGATTACGCACATCAGGCAATAGCATCTTACACCCAAGAAATTCATAAAACATCTAAAGCACTAATCTTCTCACAATAAAGCCACAAAGGTCTTTCTTATACAGCATTGCATCAAGGTGGCGAAATAATCAATGCAAATGCCACAGTTTAATAGAAAAGCCAAATGCACCACAACTGCCATGACAGTAGCTAGAACATCTAAAAACATGGCAAGATTTTGGCCAGATCAGTGACTTTAATGTGACGAAGGGTCAGCACCTGGATGAAATCCATTTTTCAATGTCATTGGCATAAAAAATTACAAATATCTTGAATTTGCAAAATCTACTGAGATGGAAACTCTGCTATAGATATGGTTTTCAGATGAGGGAGCCAGCTTTTTGCCTTGTTAAATGAAATCATAGTGGTATTACGTGCAAGAAGTGGCAAGGCTGTGTTTGACACTTGTGCGAAAATGGTGTTTTATACCTCTTCGTCGGTGTAAAATATTCTTGGAAACATCTCTCTGGATACTGTACAGAATTCACCGCTCTCATATTTTTTTTCTCTCTTTCACTTTTTCTTTCAAGTTCGTCCCTGCAATTCAGGGCTCTCTTCTAGTGAGTGTTTCGACCTTAACTTTTTGGCGCAGCCTATACAAACGTCACTCTGTGACCGCTGTTCTAGTCGGTTATGTCTTTAGCAACAATGTACAGCTAACAAGCAAAAGTATACAGACCAAAGGAGTGCATGCGGAAATTGGCATTTGCTGCACTGTCTAGAGGCAAGCCGTCTGCTGTTGAGAGCATTGCTTTGATAGAACTGCCGTTGAAAACATTGCTTCGATGGAATTCATCAGAGAAGTGATCTCGGCAGCACATGGCTCTCCACAAGTTGGGCAGACCAGAAAAGTATATGGATGGCAACAGCCCGCATACTTTTGCTCACGAGCGTACATTTGCACGTCTGAGCATCTTTAAATGCTTTTCAGGCATTTCATTCCAGCTAAGCATAGGGACAAATGCTAACTGAAGACGCTTAACACACTTCGCATGTTGCAGAGTTCACATGATGGCACAGTCTCATATGGGCAAGGAATGGTCAACTGAGTCCGCAGGCATCTTGCCAGGCTGCTAGGGGGGCCCGACTGAAGACAACAGACACAAAGGCAACCAGCAAAGGAACGGGCATACAAGTAGTTTGAAAGGATGTGTGCCGATTCACTCATGTTCACCAGAACTGACGCGCCATCAACTTTCTCTGCCCATGCTCGCTCCAGTCTTGATGAGCTGCTAGTCTACCTCGTGGTCCGAAGATGAAGGGCCCAACACCGAGTTCTTTACGAAGAAAAGGAGCATCTCGAAGAGCTCGGGCACCAGCGTACTCTTATGCACGTTCATTGTACCCTCGCTATCCACAGAGAACAAGTCCACAAAGTGCACAAGCCGCAACGGCAGTTGCTGGTAGTTGAAGGAAAGCACTTCTTTCGATGCAATCTCGCAAAAGGCAAGCAGCAGCTTCCTCCCGTCATTGTAGGTGAGGCCAGTCGAGCGTGGCAGTTGATGCAGCACCTGTGCACGGCTGAAGCACCACAGAATATGAGCGCATCATTTTTTTCGTGAAACAAGCATCCACGGTAGACAAGCTGCCATACCATTTAATAAGTGCGTACAGTGAAAAGGAAACAAAGTGTTATTGGCTGCACTGTGAACTCTAGTCTTTTTTTGCACATGACCCCCCTTCTAACCAAAAGTTTATGCGAACTTTCACAGGCAAACGTAATACAGTTAGAACTCAAACGTAGTATAGTAAGAACCCCGCTCGAATTATTACATACAATCGAGAAGTTCACAAAAATCAGGAACGAAATTGTTAAATTCTTCAGAAATAAAGTATTGCGATGTGGAGACACCCAGAAAGCTAGCGTGGCATCGTATTTGCTGCAAGCCAATGGCTGCATGTGCGAAAAGCCCCTCATAGCGGCCGGCATACAAAGCCATGTTTGTGTTCGTGTGAAGCAGACCGGGTAGATGTTTACGTAAACCTATGATAGGCCGGCGACATTCAAAGACAGAAAGAACTACACTCAGACCTCACTTATTGAATCTTACACAAAAATAAGTTTGTTACATCTAGAAATTTGTTATAAAGGTTTATTCGAAACACTTTATCTATTGCTAGATGATTTTTCATTTACTTTGTTGTAATCGGCATTTCCTTATGTCCCGGTTCGTTATATCGAGGTTACAAGCAGGCACTATATTAAAATTGCATGGAGATGATCAGTTTTCATTCTCGTATAAACCATAAAATAACAAGAGCAACCACCGCGGTGTTCCTGTTAACTATAAGCCGAAAACCCCCTTAGCACCATCTAATACGTAAGAGTGCTAATGACTGTTGAGCCTGTTTTATGTGTAGAAATGATATGCAGTATCTTCAAAATAAAACTAGGGCTGTGACAAGGGTGGCTACTTGACAGAGCACATTTGAAAATGAACCTGTCGATCATGAAATTAGAAAAAAAATCAGCACATTTTCGCTAACTATATTTAATAAAAACTTTGTGAACATTGGTTAGGAGCCAGTTTAGTTTTATTCATTAGAGTGAATGACAATAGTGAACCCTATGGGCAGCGGCTGAAATAAAAATGTCTTTGTTAGATCACAAACTTCATAAAATTGGGTATTGTCAGATCGAGTTTTAACCGTATAGTAGGGCTGTGTGAATGGTAAACTTTAGAAATTAATTAAATACGAATTTAATAGCAATGGCACTAAATCGAACATGAGCACAAATTCAATGTCTGCACCTCCGTAACAGCGCATAACGAAACCACTTTTCTTCTAAAACCAGTTATCCAATCATATTGTAAACACTTACTATGATGTTTATTATTTTTTCTTTGTTTTGTACTTGTGAAACCACAATGCAAATACTTTGTCAACACATGCAGGAACACTTAGCATGTGTCTTTTTTTGTTTCAATTTCCGGTTTCATAGCAGTGTACAAAGCTAACATGCCTCTTTTTTTTTGTAAATGTGACCATGTATGTATGTTTCTCTACTGCCCTCCCCCCCTTATGTAATGCTCCATCAAGGGCCCTTAAGAGATAATAAATGATGATTAATACCACTTGAATAGTAAAGTAAACACTTACAACAAATAAGGTAACAATCTTCAAATCAGCTCTATACTTCTACAAAATTTTATCAGAAACAAATATTCACAAATTTTAGGAAGTAATGACGAAAAATGCCCCAATTCTTTAAATTGAGAGAAGCTTGTATTGTATGCAGCAGCAACTCGATACTTAGGAATAATTCATAATTTCAGGCAATATACCAGTGATTACAGTATTCAACGTGGGATGTTGTCAACCGTTTTTAACTAAACTTGATTGGTAAATATTAAGCAATTTTCACGACTTAATCTCACCATAAATGTCATGGTGAAGATAGTGAATTGATGACATCGTCGCTTCAGAGACACTGTATATTTTAAGCAAAACTCCTTCATACTGTGATTAATATAGTGTCGATAGAACCCTAAGTGCATGGCTGTATGCATCTGGGTTCTTCGATGATAAAAACCAGAGAAGTTGGCCCTCACTGTTCTAAACAACTTACTCTTTAGAGCTTTTTTTTTTGTAATTGTTTATTATTAGAAAACTATTTGGTATTTTGAATATGCACAATTTAATTTGAGCACTGAATGCTAGTATAAGTACCAAACAGCTAGAGTATAAAATGCCACAGTGGAGCCCCAATTTTACAACTTTTGGGGGACCACGCAAAACCGTCGTATAACCCGGGCGTCGAATAATTCAAAAACTAACATTAAAGCCCGCGACACTCAGCCTTGCCCAGAAAACGGGTACAGACTGCCTGAATAAGCCCACAATACGACCTTCTGCTTCTGCAATGAGGGTAGATAAAATTATTCTTGCCAGCGGTAGCTAACGGCAGCAATAATTAGTTGAAGGAGGTCCGATCGAATCTTCATTCTCAGCCTTAAAAACAATAGAATCTAACTCGCATATTTCTATTGATAAATAAAGTCCGAAAATTGCCTGCACGTGAAAACGAAACCGAAATCGTGTTGCCGTGAGCCTCCCATAAGAAGAGTCAGACGCAGTGCCATTGCTATCGCATAATGACGACGAACGAGATTATGTACGATGTGTTTGTGCACGACTGCGCAGTGCGCGTTGTAATTTGTTGCCTCGTGACGTGCAACTAGTGGTGTCTTGCTGTTATGAACGTTGACGTCAAGTGAAAGTAATTTTGCACGGCAGCTGCATCGTGCCCTTATGCGTGCGCAAACCAGTGACTGGGAGTGTGACAGAGGCAGGAGGGCAAGGTTCCTTTTGGCGTAGCATAAGCCTATTCACGAGTGCAAAATATGAACTTGCGTACCCCAAGGAGGACTACAGGAAAAGTAGAGTCATCTTCATGAAATGGAAAATTTGTTCTCCCGAAAGTTCATGCACTTCTACATACGCCTCAATCGCGTGCATACATATCCAGGGTTTTTACCTAGTCAAGCTCTATCCAGATAGTGTAGGTTCAGCTGAGCAAAAAGCTGATATATTCAGATTTTCGGTCCGTGGAAACATTTTCTGGCCGACATACGGCTGATCTCCTACCGGCAAGGTTCCTTTTGGCGTTGCATAAATGGTTGGCAGACTGGGAGGATCAGTGTTGCCAGACTGCCCATAAATTTGACTGCAAATGTATTTTGTCTTGTAGTTGTGGCTTCTCCGTGAGAATTTGGTGCCAACCGCGGTGCATTTCGCGAACGAGCGACGCTGACCGTTTTAATTAACGGAATGAACCGCGCATTACAGGATTCGTTTTAATTAACGTAATGAACCGAGCCTAGCAGAAGTCGAGCGTGACGCTGCCGTGCAATTAGGCGGCCAATTTAATTAACGGAATGAACCGCACCTAGCAGAAGTCGACGGCAGCACCACGCTTGACTTCTGCTAGGCTCGGTTCACTCCGTTAATTAAAAAGACCAGCATCACTCATGCACTCGCGAAATGCACCGCGGATGGCACCAAATTCTTACGAAGGAGCCACAACTACAAGAGAAAATTTTTCAGCCAAATTTAGCAGCAGTCTGGCAACAACCACCCCAAAGTCTGGCAACTGACTTATGCAACGCCAAAAGGAACCTTGCCCGTGAATATTTGGCCGACATGTACTTCAAGTAAATGTGTTTTTTTTTTCTTTCCTATCTGAAAGTCAGCGTAAGATGCGGGGTTGGCGTAAATCTGCATCGTATTACCAAGCTTTTAATACATTGTTTCTTTGAGGATTTTACCGAATCAAACTGATTCGTCGCAAAATGCAGGTCGTCGCGAAACCGGGGGACGTATAATCGAAGTTTCACTGTATTCGATTTGTCACATGAAATTTTTAAATAGTATTCGCATACCCTTACTACAAAGCAGTTCATGAACACACAGCTGGTACCAATTTCAAAAGCCACAGCAAACGAAAAAACAGGGATAGGAATTACAGCATGATGCATCTGATATAAGCATAACAGCCTGCGCTTCCGAATGATTACCAGTGACACCGAATATGAGCCTTAAGCAGTAGGCAAGGAAAAGTGGGTGCTTGTCCTCTGTTTTCAAAAGTTATTTGTTTGCTTTTGTGCTCTCAATTCATTGCACCTGCTGTAGGCATCAAAGCAGAGCAAAATGTGTCTTGCTTGCACATTTTTGATTATATTATTAATTTTATTCTTTGCTTTACACAAAATATGTCAGTGAAAACATCTGGATTCACAACTAACCAGGCTAGCGTGTGACCCATAACAAAAAAAGCCATCACAGAGGATCGTGTGGTACAGGAAAGTACGTATTTCATTAAAAAAAAATATATTTCCCTACCTAATAGCATACTGAGTAGTATCATATGTTATTAAAAAGAGCAAACAATAAATAGAACTACAAAAAAATGGGGATCCTAAAGCATTACCTGTAAGAGTTGAACGCGACAGCGATATCCTGACCCTAGTGTGTACTTCAAACACATGATGCATGAAATGTTTTCGAACTTGCTATACAGCCACTATGTGCCTTTGTTAGCGGATGACTGGTTTTAAGCCACGATGTCATTATGATAATCACATGTTCTGATCCCCGATGGCAATGTACACTTGTACCCCACATTATTATTGCTATATTGGATCTTGTATTTGGAAAAATGTACACAAAACACATGTGTTTGTAAAGCATGAAAGTTACTTTCACGGCATTTCCAGGCAGAGGAAGTTGTTTTAACTATATTCACAAGCAGACGCATAGATTTGCGGTAGAACATTCGCTTGCCAAGCAAACGACCCGGGTTAGATACCCACTCAGACCCAGAATATTTTGTGATTTATTTTATTTGCATCTTTCTCAATTTTTCAGTCACACCCAAATGACGATTTTTTTCCTCACAACCAATGACACCAACACCGCCGAAATTTCTGCAAAAGAAGCTCTTAACATGATAGCATTAAAATAAAAATGCTTACTCTTAAAACAGGTCATAGTCTTAAGATAACTACAGTTATATAGTGTCAAAACTAACTCAAAGTGCTAAATAGAACATACCACTCTGCTCAGCTGCCTTGCTTTGTTGCTTGTAGAGACAACAAAGCCACTGAAATGTCACTGCTCTGAACAATATGTTACAATCCCATTAAGCATGGCTGTGGAGGCCAGAGCTGAAACTTTATGCTCTCACAAATCGCTCATTTAGTTACATGGACAACGTCAGTTGCGTGCACTGTTCCTCCTCCTCCCTCGAAGCTTTCTGCAGTTCATATGTTATTGCACAATCTCCTGGATCGCTCACGCCAAGCAAAAATGTCATGCAATCACAATGTGTCTGACCACCGGTCAGCAAAAATTTTGAAACTCACTGAGACTCACAAAACAAGTATATCTTGCTTAAAGCTTACTCTCAAGCTCAGATTCACCAAAATTTTTTCCAACCGGAATCAGACTCACTGAAATTTTCCTCAACCGGACTCCCTCAAACAAATGCTCACCAATATACCACTAAGTCAAACTGCTTTCAGCCTAGTTAGCGAAAGAAATTTCGCTCCTGCCTGTTATTCAATGAGCTTGTCATCGTATGTTGTGATATGCGCACAGTTCAAATGATGTTTGGTTTTGGTGACTAGATGGCGCAGATCTGAGGGTTATTAAGTGAATGTTTCCGAAAAATAAATCAGTTCGTAGATTGCACCCGTTTGTGTTCTTTTTTGGTGCTCGTGTGCCTGCGTAAACATTTTAAGAAGGTTACTAAGCTAGACCCACTAAGACTTGCCCCTGTATTCAGAAACGCTGCTTGTCTTGAATTTGACTTGCCACCAACTTCAATGCAGCACAGACCCATTTCAAATGTGCTGCATTGAAGGCGGTTTCAAGTCAAGTTCAAGTCAAGGAGCGTTTCTAAATACGGGGGTTAGACTCACGGCTTGACCTGGGTCTGAGTGATCCTGAGTGAGCCGACTCATAAGTGAGTTTGCCAACCGGCACTGATGGCGTCACCCACATTGACGTCAATTGTGGTACTATTCGTGTCCTCAGTGCTGGATGTTAGATTTTTTGGCTCGTGAGACATATAAGGCTTTCGAATGAATAAAAGCGTGTTTCGAGCCACAATCAGCACACCTGAAACCCAATGTGATGCCATCCATGCCCAGTTTCAGAAAGCATTTCTCGGGCGATTCATCTGTGCCGAGGTCACTGCAGCCCCACAGCATGACCAGGGACAGCTGCCAGGGAGCCAGCTGCAACGCCATCAGGGTGACTCCGAAGCCTTCGCCCAGCTGACGGGCCATGACGGACCGTGCGGCTGCCGACCCCGACAGCAACACCAGCGAGACTTTCTCGCCGCAGTGCACCAGTCCGGCAGCATGGGGCTTCTGCGATGCCGAGGCTGCCACACAGAAGAACGCCTCCTCGCCTTGCCTTCCGTCACTGCTGAGAACGCTGCACGGCCGACACAAGAGGCGTGGTCTTCGCCCCTCGCTAAAAAGAGAAACGTTTATGCTTTCACGCCAGGCACAGAATACCCTAGTGCCACTTAGTGTCTAAAAATGTAAGGAGCCTGAACCCTTGGAAGAGCATCATTGAAGAAAGAAGTAGTAATATAATAATAAGAAACTACTATGACGGCAGTGCAAGTAGGTGTACATAAAAGCTTACAGATTACGATCAATTAATTGTGCAATAGCATATCACCTATGCAGATCTTTAACAAAGGATAAAAGCACAAATAAATAACATTCTATAGAGCCAATCATAAAATTAAGAAAAAAAATCTCCAATTTTGAAATAAAGTTCTCCACCATCCTCTGGCACTGAAACTGAGGCAAACAGTATGTAAACACCCTACTGACAGCTGCAAAAAAAGGTAACCTTTATGCTTGCATGATCTGCCTTTTTTATGATGCAAAACACATTCAACCTTCTACAGACGGCCAGAGTGGATGCTGTCTGGATTAGTGTTTTGAATCTCATTTTGAAGCTTTGCTGCTGACAGTTTTCTGTAGGTGGCTTTTGCTCATGCTGGCTGCACATACGTAATTTAAAGTCCCTGTTTGAAGTACAGTATATAAACTGGGCTTGAATCAAGGTCAGCAACAACTCCAAGTTGATAGCAATGAACATCCGAGCATAGCCAGCAGACTGTGTCACTGCGATGCCATTTTTTCAGCCTTAGCCAACAGTTATTCCACAAACAATTGCGAGTCTCAAGGGTGACGGAAGTGTCTAGCAGTTGGGAAGCGAACTGTCGCTTGGCTGGTTCCAGTATAATCGGTTCCTAGGCAGACCCAGACCAACAATGCGACAGCCTCAAAATACGCTTTCGGATTTCAAATGCACGAGCTTCATTCCTTCACAATGTGCAAGAAAAGCCAAGGCCAGTGTGGATCTGAACTGAGGAGTAAGCAGCTGAGATAAAGAAATTTCATAATCGAGCTCTAGCCTTAGTTATTTGTAACTGTTTTTTTTAACTCCGCATGTTAAATAGGATGGGAGCGTCCTCGCATAGATAAGCCAACATTAGTATGTCCCTGTTCCCAAAGGTCGCCTGTACCAGTCATGCCTCCTGAAGGAAATTACATCATACAGGGGTGCAGCTGTGACTTCTATCCAAACACACTCTTGAACTTATGATAAGCACTGTTTACTCATGTCGAATGGAAAGCAAGTGACTTAGGGTATTTATTACAGCTGCCCAAAGCAACCGGCTCATTCAGTAACCAACACTGTCAGCTGTCACATATTCACGAGAGAATTGATGTCTTGCAAATGAGTCGCTAGGTGCACAGAGTGCGACCATACAACACTTTATAAAAGCCACAAAATGTACACAATGTAATTAACCAAACATGAAAACCAGCTTCAAAAGTCTAGTGGTACAATCAGACCTACAGTGTCCAGGAGCACTTTCATGTGGCTAGTATCAGGGTGAGGTGACTCACTACATACACACAAATAATTGTGTTTAGCAAAGTTTTAACATTGTTATACATGAGTATTGTGTTATATTTACTGTATTCAAGCCAAACGAATAGCTGCACCTCTACACGCTGGTACAAACAAACACATCCGTTTGACCAATCAACACATAACGTTGGTGCAAACACACAGATCACCCCGTGAATTTGGCTTAGCCAAATCTACTACCGAAACATGGGGATGCTCCAAGCGAGTATTGCTGTAGCGTGAGATCATACCAGAAGTAAAGTGGTTTCAAAATCTATTCCTGGCTCTGCTCTGTACATTTATATGGAAATGCAGCCTATTGTAAAGCCTCTTTATTGTGTTTCTATACCATCTGACAGTCACACTCAATGCTACACACGTAGTCGTTAAAAAATGCTTGGAGCCTTGCATGATGACAGATGTTATGTACGCGGCTCCTCCTACTTCCGCCCAAATCAGCGGCTTGATGGTGAAGCAAATGAGAGCGATACAGCGTGGAGCAACCTGCTCTGAAATGACATGTGCAATGCACAAATCCACTTCAGACTGACCAGTGAAAAATGCATTCACCACAGCTGAGTGAGAAATCCTACTTTAGATCAACCAGTGGAAAAACGCCACAAAAATAGTTATTAAATTTCCCTCGAGTCCTGCAGAGGTCATTGCTGATACGCCGTGAAAATATGTGCAAAAGTGGCAATACCTCAGTGCTGCCTAGTGTACGGCTGGTGCCCTACCTGTCTGGAAGGTCGGACAGCATGTTTCTCATTATCTCCTTCAGTTTTGCAGGAGTGAATCCCCACAAGGGCAGTCCGCAGTAGCAGCTCCACGGGTTGGTCTGCAGCAGCCGCAAGGCCAGGACGTCATTGTTGCTCGGCCTGCTGGGGGAGGTTGTCGCTTCCATCTGGGGTGGGCATTGAAAGAAATAAGATAGACTGAAATTTAATCTTACACTTTCCTCACAGGAGCAGCCAGGAACAGCATGCTCGACCGACAGTTTTCTGGAATATGACCACTTTGCCAGACCTGGCATCAATAAGCACCACACGACAAATCAAAGAATACAGCCAACAGTGTTTCTGACAAAGCCCTGTCTCAGTGCCAAAAAAAGTGTGGGCCATGTATGCTTATGCCTCTAATGCTTTGTCCATCAAGGTTTTGCAGAAGTTATAGACTGGGAACACTGCTCCAGGACTCAGTGTGTCATATGTTGTCCTTATACAGTCCAATGCTGCTTAAAGAGTAACGATCCTCAGACATTAAGTGGCACATTCAGTCATTGGCAGGTCTTATGGGGGGAATCAAAGTTGCCCCTCCACACCCCATCTCTACTAATCTTTGCCGTCAGCATTCTTCACGAGGCTGCCTGTTGTGGCAAATCCTAGTTTGCACCAAGGAAAAGTAGAGTAAAAATTTGGGCAGCGCTAAAGCTTATCCCTTAAGAGATGAATGTGATGGCGATATATGCACGCAAGCACGCTATCTCCTTCTTAATCACTCGCTAGCCTGCCTTCGCTTCTCAGTAGAGACCTAAACTGTGCCACGAGGAAAACCAAAGTGAAACACGCTCCGGCTCTCATTTATCTATTCACATCTGTCTCAAATTTTCACTAACAGCCAATTCTGCTTTTCTTGCTCCCAACCAAAAATGCCAATGTCAAGAATTCCGGTGAAACAAGCTTGCGTTGAAAGTGCTTTTTTGCCGACCTACTAAGTCCATGGTTACGTACACACAACCCACTTGCATTTCCTATCTCTTTGAAGTGCGGAGCATTTCTTACTCGCACAATTTTGCGCTTCGGTGTCAGCGGCGCCGTCCACACCACCACTGCACATGCTCGCGTCTCGTGCGGGCCCAGGAAGACACCCACAAAACTGTTGCTTCAGAAGCCATTAAGGATAAGACACTACTGGGCATTCAGCAAGTTGAGCATGTACAGTGGGGGTGTGGCCCTCTCCCCCGTACTCCTCTCTGTCGAACTAAAGCGGTGTGTATATAAGCAGCAAAGTGCGCGCTTGGAATTCAGTCAGTGGCGCCTCCACTTGGATTTCTCTCGACTTGACACTTTGCTTGGCTTGAGTAGATGCGATGAAAGCAACTGTACCTTCAAGGCACAACCCAACATCAGCATCCCACCACTTGTTCAAGGCAACACTTCTCCTTCGCTCAATAAATAAGAATAATAAAGATGAAATAACAATAAAGCATTCTCAAACAATACCCAATTATGCAGCATTAACGTAATGCCCCCACTACTCCGCTGCACAAATTTACTTGTGTCCCCCCCCCCCCCCCTGTGGTATGATGTGGGTGGCTTTTTTCTTGATACTTACCTTTCACCGTATAGCACCTCTTTCACTGTTTCCCAGTTATAAAATGCTGTAGTATGTTGTAGTACTATGTATTGCCCAATGGAGGTGTGGGATGCTATTTGTGGATGTGAAAATCGCATGCATCCCTTTCGATGAGGGTGGTGGGCTGTCTGCGATCATTTGTAGAACAGTATACATAACCGATTTTACAATAAAAAAAAAAACAAGCACAGAAAACAAGCCGAAATGTGGCTGCTGCGCGATGACAGGGATGCATTTTAAATAATCCATACATGCCTTTAGGGGGCTTTCATAGGACAAAAGAAAGACAGGTAGATTTCTGTTTGTACTGTTACGGTAGGCTGCCCTTACAAAGTTACTAAAGAGCAAAATGATTTTTCAAATATTAGTAAAGTACACTTTCACAGTCCTGAAAACACCACTCTTACCGTGGTGCTTTGTAAGCTGGAAAATGTGCGCAAAGAAAATGCGGGTGGAGACGCCAATGTGAGATTCCAACACCAAACACCATGACGTAAATTGTGAAGGCATCTACTGGGTCCTACATAGGTTCTACTTGATCGAAAATGAAGTACATTGTCATCTATGGGTGCCATAAACGTAGCATACAAAGTTTTGGAAAATTTCATTGAGCCAATGTTGCGAAAATGCGAGAAACAGAAATCCACTCAGTGAAGGTGCATGACCAGAGAAGTTGTTTAGCACATGTCATAGAGGTGACCCAACTAAGGCCAGTTTGGTACTGAAGCCCAGATTGTAAATGTGCTTATCGACGTTCCAGCCACTGTGAGGGTCTGCTATAAAATGCTAATGAGGACACCACCATCAAGGTGCACATTAAGCGATATCTGCTTGCCAAGTTCGTCTACGATATCACATCACACTCTCCACTTTAGTTAAAACATGAGTGGAATTTTTTTTTTTCGTAATAAGCAGGCTTCAGTGCAACACACAATGTGAGAAGGCCAGCTACCAAAGACCAAACTCGTACTGATACTTCAAAATGTAGGCTTCACTTCAAAGCACAAATGCGCTGCTGGGAAGACATTTTTTCAGGGGGCAATTAAGTCATTTTATGTCAGAATATGAAGGCCCTAGAACCTTGCATTATTTTATTAACTATTTGATGATGCTCCCAGGCACCTGCAATAAAACTTGTACTTATTCTCCTAAAGTAAGCTTCACTTATAAACAAAAATACAATGCCAAAAAGACACATTGTAGAACAAGGGGGGAGACGGAGCAATATAAGCCAATGTATGAAAACTGTTAGCTGTTGCACCAAGACATTTGCCTGGCAGAGTGCGTCTAGTGTGAATGATGGCTACTTCGAAGAGCCTGAGGAAACTAGCCACCTTCTCACATACTGAAAAGATGCACAGACTCCTGATACAGCGTTGCCCTAAAAAGTAACGTAAGTTGCTCATATAATTCTGTTTGTTTTGCTTTTTTTCAATTCTTGCTGTACTTGTCGATGCTGCTGCGTGATGCCTCCAGGTAGTGTTCTCAGCCCTTTGCTTCCTTGTCAACTTCCAACCTGTACCAGCCCTGAGACCGTTTGTATTGGTCTTCTCAGGCAGCGGCCATACACACATAAACCTATCTTCGTCACTGATTCTACTAATTGTATGCTTCACTGCACTACATGCCTGTGCTGCACCAAAGTTTACCGAAGCAAGTTGTTGACTATGGTGGGTAAACAAGGCTTTTGCTTTACACAGTGGTACATAAACCTTGCTCATTTATTTTCCATAATTAAGGCCTGCCATTTTGAACTTGTCGTTCCACTCCCTATCTGCAAAGCCACAACTTCATTGAGAGTATTTAAACAAATAATTCCCTTCTGATTCAATGACCTGTTTGGCAGCATATGCAAACACAGCAGTTTCCTTATCATGAACGCTCCCAATGACACAACAGGTGATAGTGTTCATGTTTGGAGGAGTCCACTTGCCAAGGCACAGTGCTGATATTGTTATCGGGAGAAAAGATGTTTGACAATATGTTAACAGGCACTTTTCTTCTATTTTTAAATTTTTTTGTGAACAAGATGTGCATGTAGTTGTACGTTATGCTGGTCTTTCCTTGTCAAGTACTACAAGAAAACGAAGGGGAGAGCTAAAAAATATCTCTTATATAAAAGTTCATACATTAAAGTGCAAGAAAACATTCTCCAACACTATATTTGTGTCTCCAATGCAATGAAGCTATCTGAAGAGTTCTGGAAATGCTGTTATGTAGTAAGGAATTCCTGCATAAGATGCTACTTGGCAACCTGGAAAGAAACTTGACGAGGTCTGGAGAGTCCCTGAATAAGCTAGAAATTTTGTATCTGAAGAGGGTACGAACCCTGTGAGCAACATTACAAGGTAAGTAGAGAAAAACAGAGAAGACACTTGTAAACGAGACTTATTTACAAAACACTTTACTCTTCGAGGTAGTTGTGTGCATACAGTAATAGGAGAGAAAAGATTATATAATCCTTTTGGCGAACTAACAATGTGCAAGGCATTTGTTGAGCAATGAACCATTTCATACTGTGTTCTTGCTCATAGACCATGATATAATCATTGCACTGTAAAGGCCTTCAACTGCACTAACAAACATGCACAAAAAAAGAAGCAGGAAGACTTGGTGTGCACAGGCTCACGAATTAAAGTATAGTGGATGAAAGATGACGTATGTACAAAGAACAAGTGGATGAACCAAGCTCATTAGTAATCTAAAACAACATTACGTTGCTGTCACAAAGCATTGTCTAAAACCACTGTTCACCTTCGGCAAGTGCCACCAAAGAATCTCATATAAAACAGCATTTAGCATTTATAATAAATAACCAGGGAGTATTGATATTGGTAATAACCCCAGACAGGAGTGTGACACTGCACTGCCCCTTTCCTTCTCTCTATCAACCTACCCTTTATCCAGAGCAGGGTAAAACTGGAAGACTGGTCAAAAGAAGATGCGACTCGAAAAAAAAAAAAAAACACTGCATTAATCTGTAGCCTAGGGCAATGAAATTACTGCTTTACATATAGGCTTTGCGGCTAATTTCAAATATGTAATTAGGTAGTTTCATATCAAGTTGCACAGTTTTCGTTTTACGCCACGACAATGTGTAAAAGTACAGTTCGTTTTGGACAAACCTTTTATGCCAGTAAGCTTTTATGGTCCTGAGCCATTAATGGTTCATATCACTCCACGTGAACCATACTCCACGTGAACCATAGAATGCAAATAACTATCAAGAAAGTGTGTACAAGATATTTTAATAGAGACAAAAATTATAATTCTTTGAATGCTCAGCCCATACCAATTGTTTACTTTCAGTTTGTAATATCTATACAAGCGATATCAAGTTTTAATGGAGATACTTGCACCCTTTACATGTTAGGGAATAGGTGGGAAAAATTTCATCCCGATCGGACTATCAGAAGTACTAAAAACATGATGTATAATCTCAAAAAGTTGCCCAAAAAGTGAATCTTCAAATAAAATGCATTTTAATAATGTAAGTTAAAGCTCATCTATCCGGAAAAGATGAGTTTTTTAAGATTTCTTTCATCACGA